GATCACCCAGCTCTGGATTTGTGACTAGTCTGTGGTAATCCTGAAATAACTGGTTGGCTACAAATCCCGTTAAAGCTCTCACTGAAATGTATTTACTGTGTACATGTTTGATTGTCTGTTGTACACAGTGAGCTAGCTACAATTAGCTTCATTTAGCTATCGATAGCAGCTAAGCTAACGTCCTCCCTGTGCTACCGTGTTTTATCTCGTATTATCTGTAGTATTTACGTGTTGTCATTCTGTTTTGTGCTTGTATTTAAGTTGTCGTGTGTATATTTGTATGAGAATCCCTTCCCATAAGTGTGGAGATTATCAACGAGTAATGAGTGACCAGAGTATTCTCCTCATCTGGACCTGGTCCGGACCTGGTCTCACACATACGTACTTTTGACTTTGTAAACTGTTGGTTTTGCACTTTACTTTTTTTTTTTCAATAAATCTGTGATTGTATCCCAAGACTGTTTCATTCGTATATTATTATTGTATCTGAGGTTTGGGTATCGATTGTTTGTCTGGTCTCTGAGTCTGCTGTAGTCCGGACACGAGTCCGGACTAGCCTAGCCTAGCTTAGCCTAGCCTAGCCGCTAACTCGCTACCCCTATGGCTGCCGCTGTCTCTCCCTCGGTCCTTTACTGCTCAAGTTGCCATATGACGAGTTTAAACCCCGGATCCTCCTCTGAGGGCAGTGATAGATGTGTTATGTGTAGTATTGCTTGCTTGCAATCACGTGACGCATAAGCTTCCGGTTGACGAAGTGGTGGTCAGGCCAGCAAGAGTTGCTGCTGATATATGAAGAAAATGCGACTCTTCGTATTAAAAGCAAACTTTTTTGGATATTTCATGACACTTTGAAGCTACTGTGGTTAACGTTCTAACTCATCATTCTGACAATATGCTCAAGGCAGATTTTTTCCACTACATGTTTTGGTAATATCAAGGTTGAAGCTACCGGAGCCGCGGCAAATGCTAATATGCTAATAATGCTAATAAGTCTCCATTCCTCCGCTGTATGTCACTTACATTCTTTAACGTCTTTGTTTATGCTGCCTCTACCATCAACAATAAAAAATGTCTTCTGTCTGAATTAAAGACAAGATCCTAGACAGTCATTTTCTTCACTTTAGATTCAAATCCACAGCTAGTGTTACAATCAAGCTTTTGCACTGCTAAACAAATGAAGGTTTGGATAAACACGGATACTGCAACTTTTCCGTCTGTCTGTGGGTTTAAGAACTCAGAGTTGAGGTCCTGAAGGACAAATCCTGCATCGTAAAGAGCCGTGTAAGTAAGGATTGGTATGAACTTATCATTCTCAACAAAACAATGCGTCTGTGGCTGTGTTCTTTTCAGGTCAAACATTCACAGTGATTATTTAAAACTCCAACTCATACCTGACAATGAATGAAATAAAGATGGGGATGTAATAACTGCGCATTGTGACTCCATGGCTGGGTAAATAAATAATCCTTCGATGTAAAAGTCTTTGCTAGTGAAATGTTAGCGAGCCACTTTTCCTGCGTCTTTTCGTAAAGTCCTAGTGCGAGACTCTTTATTAATCTCTTCACGAGGAATCCTAAAGTATCCATTAAAGGTTTCGCGACTCGATCGGTTAGGAAACTTAAAACAACACATGCAAAAGGCATATTCAGACACGCTGCTCTAGTGAACAACTAGCTCGGCTGACCACCACTTCGTGATACGCATATGTAATGAGGCGGACGTGACGTCAATTGCAAGTAGGGCTGGGCGATATAAACGGTATAAGCGGTATGCGATATAAATTTGGCCCACGATAGAGATTTTTGTTATACCGGCATATTGCGATAGGTCATTATGTCATTAAATTGCGCAGGCTCTGACGCCAGCAGAAAGGACCAAAACAAACCGGCATTCAGCAGCATTAGCCTAGCACATTAGCCTAGCATTAGCCTAGCACTATTGGACACCACTGGAAACAACGAACAACAGCACGGCATTAACACCGTGTTTCTGTCTATGTATTGTTGTCACAGCGGCCCCAGCAGAGGTAAATACACACACAGTAATCACAGTTTAAGAGTCTACCTTTTGGCCAATCAGTGGGAGTAAGCTCAAAGCGCCAGCGTGAGCCAAAATAGATCCATGCGTGTGCCGTGTCCGCAGCATCACAGCAGAAGTTTGGGAAAGTTAGCGTCAGATTTGGACCTCCGCGGTCAATATCTCACGAAAGCTACTTTGTTAAACAAAATTATTTGTGCCAAAATGATCATTTACATCAATTGTTCAAATCCAATGCGCTGTTTTAATGAACATAAATCCATTGAATCATCCAGCGCAGAGAAAAGCGCTTAGGGAGCGTCAACAAATGGCAAGACCAGCTTTGTAAAGAAACAGCTTTTACTGAAGTCATGCACCTGCACAAAACTCTCAGACACTATGAATAATGACCATGTCTAACTCCTACAGACTTTGATTTCAACATTTGTGAGTTTTTTATATTTTAAATGAATGCATGTTTTTCTTTTTAAAAATTGCTTTTACAGTGAATGGTATTTACTGTAACATACATAAATAATGTATGTTATTTGTCTCTTTATTCGTCTCACAACTGATTTTCTAACTCAAAAAATATATATATTAGATTCTAATATATAAATAATTAACAATCTTGACTATTTTATGCAAGAACCTGCTAGACCTATATTGAAATTCACAAAACAAATTATACCGCAATATATACCGTCTACCGTCTGTGTCCCAAATTTTACCGCAATATGAATTTTAGGCCATATCGCCCACCCCTAATTGCAAGCAAGCAATTGTAGTAGCTTTGGAATCCAGGGTTAGTGAGTGAGCAGAGTCTCGAGCTAGCGCTAGCATTAGCTATAGCCTAGCAGTATCCTCGGACATGCAGCCCTCCTCCTCTGCACACACAGGCTGCTGTTGCTAAAGGTCTCATTCAGATTGTAGAGAGCAGTCAGCACCATTGACTTCACAGTGTCTGAGTCATTCTTTTAAGACATAAGCATTTTCAAAAACTACTCGTGCTGTGCTGAATTTTCTATTAAACACTCTGATATTATAATAAATCCATGCACCGCCGCACCAGTACTAGTTACGCGTCACACGTAAATGACGTGGTCTGACAACGCTGAGGACATACTAGGGGGTACTATTTTTGATGGAAAAGCACGCGAACTGGGCCATGGCGCGCCGTGTAGAGTCAAAACGTACCGTACTAGGACAGTGGAAAAGCGGCATAGTACGTCATCATTTTTCTGGCCAATCAGAGGCGTTGATATTAAAAGGTAATTTTATTGATTTATTACTTATCTATAACACAAAAACACATTGCAAAGGTGGGAAATACATGCTTTTAATGTGTTTTATCAGAAAAGAAAATTGTTTTTAATAACGTTAGTGCCCTTTTGAAACATTCCACTTTCAATGAAATAACAGCCATTTTGAGCCACTCACTTTTCATAAGTGCATCTGTGTGAATCTGCATGTATATCATTTATAATCACTTTTGCCCCCTTCTCTACTTTCTGGGGGTTTTTTGCCAATATCTTGCGCCCATCTTTTCATATCAATTCCCGAATCAAACCATGGAGGCTAAGATAGAAATGTTGCTTCGCATTTTTGAAGATTTTTAGCAGCAAACAACGGCTTGTACAAATTGTAAAAGCGGCGAGCGCCTCTCTGAAGAAAAGGAGAGCCGCTTTTCGCAGGTCTCCTCTAAAGTTCAAATACAAGTGATGTGTGTGTGGATCTGATCTAAGGACCATCAGCACAAACATGTTCCCATGTGGTTTGACTGGAGCCGCGTCATTGCGAGGATCCTTTGGGCTGCGTGAAGCGGAGAGACTCGCGCACGGCGGTGTCCGTTATTACTATATGTCAGTGAAAATATAGTCATTTACGGATATTGCTTATACCGTGTGAATGCGCCGTTAGATCTCAGACGTCCTCCGTGATTATCACAAATTACCAGAGGTCCACAGGTAATACTAATTCCGTGCGAATAGGGTTTATAATATCGTAATTAAGATACCCCCCTCCCCCTTTTCTTGTTTTAGCTGACAGCTTTGACGCCGGTTAAATGGTCACTGATTTACATCCCTAGTGGTGATAAATACTATGACACAATTTTATATTATTTCTAAATGGAAGGTCCGGGATTTTTGATAACCATTTTGGTTAAGACACCAAATCATCACAACTTTTAAAAATAACCACAGTAATACCAAAAAAACGCAATGATTTTCGTCACAATAACCGGAAGGTTAGATTTTCATACCATGCTTACCATGAGACCCCTAATAACAATTGTACAAATACTGTTTGAAAAGCACAGCTATGAGACGCCTTTGAAAACGGAGACTTGACCAAAACTTGTCAGACCAAAATCATGCCGAACAGAGCCCTAACCCTAACCTATTATTAATGCAGACCGTATTCTTATGCTTTGTAAACATAGTGTCATGCACTTCCTGTACTTTCTTAAAGTTGATTCTAAAGAGTTTAAAAAATAAATTTCACAGTTCATTTCAATCCCAAAAAAGCAGCAAACCCTGATAAAATTGTGCATTCATAATTTTTCAAACTAAACATGCTATTGTGTGTGAATCCATAGTTTGAACATGTTTTAAATGAATAGATCAATATCGAGATCATAATCATACACTTGATTTACAACAAAAACACATTTGGTATTGTTGTCATAATTATTAGCATGCTATGACGGCATTAACGCTTAATCGTTAAGCTTCTGCATTTTGACAAACATGTTCAAATGTAGAAGGGTCCAAGATCAATCACTTCATCGCTAGCTGGATGGGCTTTCCAATCACAGACAGGAGTCACTTTGCGCAACTATACAAGATGTGGTTGCAGTAAAACTGTGTGTTCAGTTAAAACAAGCGCAGAATAAACGAAATGTAAGATATTAGGCTACGTATGATGAATATTTAAGAGTTATTACAGTCAAATATCATAAAGACTTGTTTAATAAATCTTACCTTGTTCATGCCTCCCGTTTGCTGTGAGTTCATTCCAGTGTGGGGGCCCATGTGCAGTCCTCCTGGTGTCAAAGAATCTGGCAGAGCACCACCTCCCACAGCCGCAGATCCAAGTGTCCCATGGCCTTGATACTGCATCCCAGGACCTGGTCTTCCTCTGCCTGCTGCCCCTAGAGCCCCGTTCAATACCTGCCCCGTCTGGCCCATAACTCCGTGCCCACTGTTCATTAATGCTTGGTTAAAGCCATTGCCTGGACCTGTCGCAGGACCCTTCTGTGGCTGTGGAGACGGATGATTTGGAGATCCGTGTCCAAGAGGACTTTTACCTAGAACAGGTCCAAGCTGATTTCCCCCCATGTTCCCCTGTTGTGGTGATCCCAGGATGGAGGAGCTTCCAGGTCGCAGTAGTTCTGATAGCTGTTTGTGTTTGGCTGCTGCATCTGGGATGGCAGAGTTGAGGACAGGAGCCCCAGTGCCTCCTGGACCACTGGAAGGGAACCCCATGTGGGACAAATCTCCATTTGGGATAAGCTCATCAGGTAGGTCATTTTCCAGGTCAAACAGAGAAACAAGATCTGAAAATAATGAATGACACAAACATTTTTACTATGTGGATACATTTTTGATGAATCGTGTGTAACTCATTACAGCCATGATCCCACTTCTGCTGATATTTCAGGACAATTCTAACCATAATGGTTTGATGACTTTTAACTAGAACACCCGCCGCTTCAAAATAATACTTATGTCCACTCAAGCCCAAGACAGCTGCTAGCTCACAATGAAGGATAGAGGAGACTAGCCTGTACTTTATGTGTGGTTGTTTACAACCACCAAGTAATTCAACAAGGGTTAAACAGGCAATCTATTGTTTAACATTAGTAAAATATCATTAAGGTTTATAATAAAGTCGTATCACCATCCACTTGACACTAACTAACTAATTATGTCAATAAGAAATCCAGAGTTGAATTCAAGGTTTTGCAATGTACTCACATTTAATGTATTAAATCAAAACAAAGATTAAGTAAAGCAGCTGTGTGCTCAAATGACACAGTCGTCTAGACTCAATAAACATCAGAGACACTGACAGGCCACTTGGAAGTAAGGAGGAATCATCTGGACATTACAGAATTTTAAATAATCATAACTTCACAATTTTGAACCACGATGAATGGATCTAAGAACATGTGGAAAAATCCTGCAATTGTGATGAACCTGTGGCGAACAAATGTCAGAGATGTCCACCTGCACTGTATCCTTACCTGGGCCATCTGATCCTGAGAGCGGAGAGTTAAGCTTGGGTCGCTTTGCTGTAGGAGGTCCAACATCCAGCAGATTATCAGCCATCCTGGTCGTCATTGATCAGTAGTAAATGTGAAAAAACACTTTGCACTCGCAGAAAAAAATATCAACCTTGCAAAAACTGTCAACTTTTATTACAGTTTCACGCAGGGAGGCTCAACGAAAGCTGGAACACTGGCGGATTGCTGCCCGGTGAGAAATGCATCAAAAGGAAGGCAACAGCGCCACGCTTCGCCACCGAAGATCACCCCATGATAATCCAACACCCAACACCCACATAATTATCCCCAATAATTACGTTCTGAAATATCTTCGCTTAAGATCGATGCATAAAAAAAACAATCATAAAATATTACAAGCAGCGTGAGTGAATCCCTTTCTTTGTAAACAGTCAGCTTCGCAACCGCTCGCAATCATCTTTTTTACCGTAAAATAAAGCAACAATAAATTATGCCTTGGCAATAAATAAAAAGAAGAAATTTCAAAAAATAATTTCTATGAGGTGGATCATTTTTATAGCCGCTGTCTCCCCAGTAAACGAGTGTCTCGGCACAGGGATACGGCGAGAAGCGGCGCTCTCTAAAAGGGAAATCAAATATACAGTGTGCAATCGAGACGACAAAAGCCTATTTTACCCTCGCGTTTCTCAAAAGACCCGACGGATTGACTAACGCTACCGTTTTCTGCGACAAAAGGCCATTAGAGTCCGTCATGGGCTGCTCCGGGAGGTTTTCAAAATTAATGCTCCCCCCGAAATCCCGATTCTGAGCCGCGTCAAGATGGCGGCTGTTGATTCCTCCGATACAAAAAAGTTTTTTTTTTTCCTTCAGTGAGACCAGAGGAGGGGGAGGAGTGACGCCCTGACGTCACCTGTGGCCCACCAGCGTCATGTGCACGTACGCAAGGTAGCCTCTGGGAGCAATGGGCACACACGTTATACAGAAAACTACTCATTCTGCTGCTTTGTCCCATGTTTAAAGCTGGAGTACCTAACTTTGAAAATAACAATGCAATACATTTTTACTAGTTCCCAGCTCTCAAAACGGTTCTATTACTAGTTTTTAAATGCATGTATGTTTGGTCTATGTCACATCTTTTTTATTTTTTATTTTATTTTAATCAGATTTTAAAGTAAAAGATAACATGTTTCAGAATAAGATGAGGAAATATGTGTCTTAAACTGCTCTTATTGTTGGGACAAACACCAAAGTTAGGAACTCCAGTGTTAAGACTATGTAATAAAAACAAATCATGAACACGTAAAAAATATAATATGCATGTTTGAAAAGTATACATAAACAATAAAATTTAAAGAGAGACACTTCCAGCTGTTTATTTAGTTTAACCTTCATTTAAACAATGAACGTGCAATATTCCAAACATTTAAAATAAATCAAAGTTCACCAGTTTATTGAAATATGGCTTTAGCAAATAATAATATCCGGACACAATCCAGATATCTTTGCTTAGTCGAACTAGGCAAAATACAGGAAAGTGATCAGTGTTCAGCATTTCTACAGTTCTCTATGGTAACTTTAAGAGGTCAAAATGAATGGCAGGTTTGTTGAAATGGTACAAACATTCCTAAATACATTCTCAGTATTTTTCATACATTTACACACATGCAAACACTAACAATACAGAACACTTCAATGCATGCATATACAAATGAAAATAGAGAACTCAAGTACAACACAATACAAAAACATCAGTTTAAGAAAATGAGTGCTTTGTGCAGTAGTCTGTGCATTTACTATAAAATCAAATAATTTACTCAGAAAATAAAAAATATGATCTTGCACTCTTTGGCATCATAATGCATCTATTGTGCAATTGCTCTCGTTCAGAATGCGTTTTCATATACAATTACACAAAAAGGAAAGCAGTAAAAAGTTGTGTCTGAATGAACATCAAATATATGTTTGTACAATGTGGTCCAAGTCTTTAAAACATGTGCAGCCAGTGTGCATGAGCTGAAAATGGCTTGCAATGTAAATGAGGCCAACTGCATATTGTTAATACATGATACCCCTCAAAAACACAAAAGTATTTGCCTGTAGGATTGTGTTAAAACGTAAGCTATGATAGTATTAAAACACTGATTAACATGAAGAAAAAGTAAGGCCCTGTTTATTATAGATTATTAAAATGATCAAGGCACAGGATTTGTTAATAATTGCTATTGAAATAAAACAATAAAACTAAGCAATTAAAGGCACAAGCAAATGTGTTGCTAAACTCTAACACTCAATGCATTGCATTTGTAAACTTGACAATGCTGTCCATAATGATGAAAAAATACATTACACTCCAATATACAACAAATACAATGTTATTTTACTAGTGAACCACTGAGACACATGAAGTGAGTGATCCCTATATGTGCTATATGACAATTCTGGGCCCTCATAAAACTACAGCGAGCACACACCCAGCATCTATTTGAAGCCAATCAAATAATTAAAGCAAATACTTTTCTTAAACTGTCTCCAAGAGTGACTGGGGATTTATTATTTGAGGTTCATTAGTTTTCAGATTAAACTCAGAATATTTATTCTGCTTACACAGAAAACCATCTAAACCGAGCCAGGGCAGCATGGTGGTGGAGTGCTTCACAGCAAAAAGGTCCAGGGTTTGATTCTACCTCCAGGACATTTCTGTTTGGAGTTTGCATGTTCTCCTCCTGTTTGTGTAGGTTTCCTCCGGGTGTGCTGGATCCCCTACCACTAAAAACATGTATGGCGAGCACGTTCCCATCTCTGTGTGGAGTGAGAGACAAATGCCCACAATAACATGTATTGTAAGTCTGGTCTGTGAAAGGTGCTATATAAATAAAGAATACTTACTTCTCGTTAATGTACTCATTTTGCCTTTCTCAAGTTAACCATGCAATTCCATTTCTAATGTTGTTTTTCTAATGTGTTTACTATGGCACACATACGAAATTCCCTTTATTATTAATCAAGAATGATTGCACTTTGTATATGAAAAGTCCTTTAGGAAATAATAATTAAATCAAAGAAAGACACAAAAACATACTTTAAATGTTATATAGTGTTTTCCAAATGTTTCCCTTTTGTTTAGTTTGAAAAGGCTTGAATCTACACTGTGAACAATTAATCTAAGGCACTTAAATTACATAAAAAAGTATTCATACTATTCAAAAGATTTCAGGTTATTAGTAGATCTATAGCAGGCAAAGAAAGGTTAAGAATAGTGCATTACATCTTACAACACATTTTAAGATGATACTGAGTGTAAAAAAATTACGCTTAAGACAAAAACAAAAACGCAAAAAAGCATTTCAGAAACATAAAATAAATCCTTAAGGGTACATCAATATTAAAGGGTGTAGAGGCATAATGAGAAAGGCGGTCTTAAAGTCTGGTTACTTTTCCAGTTTTCATTACAAACTCATTGTCAACCTTTTTGGTGTCTTTTGAAGAAGGACGGTTGGCTGATGTTTGTGGAGCAGCCGTGATGAAGTGCTGTGTCAGGTTTTCAGGCAGTGATGCTTCCACCACATTGATAACAGATGTGAGACCACTATGTGACACAGACCTCCTGGTTAACGACACCTCTGGAGAAGGTCTCTTTTCACTTGTAGCCCGATGTCCTGAATCTTTCATGAGAGAAAGCCCTGCCATGGCTGATGAGCCAGCACTAGCACTGGGAACCATTGCAGCAGTGCTGCTTGTATTTATGTTTGAGTTGGGCACCATGCTGGCAATCTCATCTGTGGGAGATCGCCCAATACTACCATCTACTTGTGCCCTGATCTCTGGGGATACAGACAGTTGATACTGGGGTACCGGGCCACTATCACTGCTCTTAGGGTAAAGGAAGGTCTTCATTTGACCTTTCCCTTTAACATTTACAGTTCCTCGGTAGTCAAATTCATAATCCATGCTACTGAGCACACAGAAGCTCTCCTCACTAACCTGCACTCTGCACTCCACCCCTGTGGTGTCCATGCGACTGGAAATGTTGACTGTATCCCCCCAGATGTCATAAAGAAGCTTTGTGGTGCCAATCACACCAGCAGTAAGGGGTCCATGATTGAATCCAAT